ATCATACAACGGGATTGGATGATCATCCTCTGGTTCTTCTCCAAACCATCCAGCATTGTCTTCATTCAGAAGGTACGAATCGTCATAGGGATGGAGTCCAACCATGTTATCTACGCGAGAATTGGGGTAAGGAAAATAATTATTAGACGAACTAACTAGATAACTATAAGATAATCTTCATTAGTCACTTAACTATTTGTAAAGTGCATACCAGTTATATGTAATCAAAACAAGATAGGCCTTCGAATAAGTGACCTTAACTCCAAATTCACAAGGAACAGGGGTAAAGCAAAAAATTCACAGATTCTAAGTCTATGTCATCCTAGTTACATATAACCTTAGTGTATCCACTTAGCAACTATTTCCCTAGTAATGAAGATATTTTTAGTTCTCAACTAAGTACTTATAGTAACACAGGATATTCCTAAAATCTTTATTGTAGTAGTGTTGGTAAGTTTTTAGACTTGTTGCCATATCACAACCATTCTTGGGCATATGCTAATCACTCCTCGGACCAGCATAGTTGATCAGGCTATGCCACTCCCAGGACTGACCATACATTCCCAAGCTTACTTGTGATATTCAACAATCATAATACTTTTGTTCTTGTCATTATGACATTGATTTTAGTATGAATGCAGGTATGTATACTTAGTTAAATATTTTATTATTTAAAAGTATAAACTCTTGGTCAGAGTATTTTAATCCCATTGTATTTATAGTATGTATATATTTTATGGGTTGATATACTCCATTCACTATAAACAATACTCTGATACCAATATGTCATACCCTAAAACCAAGAACGACGGAAACGTTCTGGGGCGGAGGACGTCATGTAGAGTATAACAACAGTGTAAAGTAGTAAACAAACAACAACATCATCCATTACATTAATAGTAAGATTTTAATACATGTGTATTCTTTCATAGAAAAAGACATGAAAATAAGTAAATAAAATAAAAGACGAGTCTTGACTGCTCCGTCTTCTCAAAACCTGGTCATCGTATCTGTCTACTGTTGACCTGAGAATACAAGTTATTTTGAAAGCGTAGATCAGCATAAAAACAGGTGAGTTCATAAGTATTTAATGTCAGTGTTTGTATGAAAATGTTTGTAAGTGTTTGATGTATAAGTTTGTAAATGTTTGCAGTAAATGTTTGTATAAGTTTGAAGAAAATGTTTATAAATTTACAATGTAAATGTTTGTATAAGTAATTGTATCTCCTAGAAAATCATATATTTTCTACTAAAAGTAGCCTTCTACCAAGGCATCAAAGTTCTACATCTTTTTTTGTTGTAAAATTGTGTATTCTTCCCAAGTGTGACTGTCATTAACAAAATATAGTTTATATATTACTGATTATGTGAGAAGATCACAAAATGAATGCAATTGGGAAAATATTAAAGTACTGTAGTACTGTATTACAGTAACCACTACTGTACTTATTGTCTTAAATCGGTTGTTTAAGGTATAATGTGATGGCTAGTTCCCATACTAAACGTTCCCCCTGTCAAAATATTCTGGGAACCAAACACGACTTGGAAAACCGGTGGTTGCATCGTGTACATCCATGTTAAGGTTATATGATCATGTATACCCAATTTAACTATCACCGTTTGTTTAGAATAATGAGTTAGTGATTCATTGGTATAATTAGATCCTGTAGTTGTTGTATGTTATAGCATCTTAGTGTGTATTGTTTCTCGTTATAGTATTCTTTATCTGTTTCTCATCATAGTATAGTTGTATAGTTTCTCATCATAGTATAGTTGTATAGTTTCTCATCATAGTATAGTTGTATAGGTTCTCATAATAGTATAGTTGTATAGTTTCTCATCATAGTATACTTGTATAGTTTCTCATCATAGTATAGTTGTATAGTTTCTCATAATAGTAAGTAGTGACTCATGAATGAATTGAATCTTTGTATGGTTCATTGAACTAGAAGTAGTAAGTAGTATAACCATAAACTATACTTATTATAGTTTACTAGTAGACTTGTTTGTATGACTGAATGTATTGAAATGAGATAAAAGTTTTTATATCTATACATATATACATAATACATAACTAAGGGTTCAACGATACTCGGACAAACAACCGGGTACTCTAAGTCCACAACCAAACAACGAACAAGAAGTAAAGTGAGTTATCAGTCCTAAGTCCTTCAAACCTTATTTATATAACTATATATGCAGTAGACATGGTTTTAACAATATATAAGTTCAAAAGAAGTTTTGTAAAACATTTGAAGAGTAAAATAATAACCATTGATGACTTGATGTCAATTTATAAAACCAATTAGAAGTAGTTTGTTTGAAACATAGTTTGAAGTCATATGTTAGTTTGAAAGTATATTAAATCCATCGATTGATAGTTATTAATCACATGTGATTGATATAATAACTATGATATTCAACTTGTATTACCCCCCCCCCCCTAAAAGTATTTAAAATCATTTAAAAGGTTGATTAAGGGGTATGAACTCACCTATAGTGAGTGATTTGGATGGAAGTGTCGGACAAGGTGCTAGGTGTCAAGTGAAGACTTGAACACACATAATGATCCTAGTTAACATATAATAAAACATATATGTATCCAATTAGTCATTTAACAACTAATTAACTAAGTTAAGACACCCTAGGACATGGAAACACTTTGATTGAAGTGCTATAGGTTCCATAGGGTAGCATCTAAAGGTTGCATGGCATGACATTGGAGTTTATGGCCCAAGGACCACTCCTTATGGAGTTTACGGCCTAAGGTCATTTACCCCCTGGGTTTATGGCCATAAACTCATGGTACTAAGTTCCATTTGGTGATTTAAGGTGTTATAAGTCAAGAGTAGTCATTCTATGATCAAGTCCAAGCCTTAAGAAGCATTAGGGGCACAATATCACCACATTATAGAGGTTACGACCTAAGGACCATTTCCTTATGAATTTACGGCCATACAATCTATGGGGAATTGGTTTGTTTGATGTTTTAGGTCCTAAACACTTCAAGGAAGTGATCTAGACTAGTGTCCAAGGATTAGGAAGGGTCTAGGGTGCATTTTGCCCCACTTATAAGGGTTTACGACCCAAGAAAACTCCTTGGCCGTAAACACCTTTGATCATGTGATTCATTGTGTTTTACAGGTGCAAACAAGTCCATTTCAAGTGTATAACAAGCTAGGATAAGTGTACTTACAATCTAGAAGCTTGATTGGGTGTTTAAGGTCCAAGAACACTAGTGTGTGTTCTTGGTGAAACTTGAAGATCTATGAAAACATGATTTTTGTGGATGAAATCAAGAGAGAATGATAGGTTAAGAGGTGTATCACCAAGTCAAGGAAGAATACTTACTAGTTTTAAAGATCTAGGGATGGAATGTGGATGATACTTGAGAGCAAACCCGAGTTCTAGGCTTGAAATGGCAAGAATGAATCAAAATGGATAAGTTTTTCTTATATATGCATGGAGTTTATGGCCCCCATATCATTTGGGCCGTAAACTCCGAACTCTTGGAGTTTTGGAACCTAAATGTTGCACACTTTACCCTAAAGTATCCTCTCTCCAATTATCTCTTGCAGTACTAGGCTTTAGAACACTCAAACTGACTTTAAACCGACTAAAAATTAGCAGAAAGTATTTAACTTTTAATTGAAGTGCTTGACTGTACAGGATAAAAAAAATTCGGGTTGTCACATTAGGGTTGTATGTGCACCATAGGATGTTGTAGTATACAAAAATCCAACATTATGGGCACATACTACTGAAATCACAAGGCCCGTACACGTATCAAGGAAGTCACAACCCCTAGGGTTTGATTGGGAGTTGGTTCCCTGTTATTATATGGGTTATCTAAGATCTCTCTGGGGTATTATCAGAATGGTGGTTATGAGACGTTTTGAGACCGGATCTGGATCAGGATTGGGAGCTAGCATCCGGGATGAGGTGATCGAGATTATTTGAAGACAGTTTCCAGAGATGTTTGCATCTATTAAGACCACCATGGTTGAGTATTTCTACGAGCATTATGTATCCCTTGCTGAGACGACTATTGCAGCAGCTACAATAGTTGTAACAACGGCAGGAAGAGGAGTTGGTCAAGCTTTCTTGTATCGGGATTTGTTAATGGGACATATTCTGATGAGCAGAGGGTTGTAGTAACCTGGGATTGGGTAGATGTTCCGTACTCGTTACATTCCACGGGTTGAACGGGAGAGGCTGGTGTCACACCCCCGAACCGGGACGGTGTAAACATCTGAGGGCGGATGACTTCATGTACAGTATCATAACAATTGAATATGAATGAAACATAGCAAGCAAACATCATACATTGGAAATACACGCTTACATAGTTTACATATTGAACTTCTTCATCAATTACCACTTGATCTCATAGTCGGGCTTATTACCACTACAAGAAAAATAGCCTTTTACGACGCGCAAACCACGACACTCGTTGATTTATGTTATGCAATGGAGAGTAACGTTAAAAAAGTGTCATCTCTTCAAAAAATTTAAGGATTTAAGTCACGCATTATTGCGTGCCCTTAAATTAGTGTTTAAACAAAAAAAACACAGAGGGCACCTATAGTTAAGTGTGTGTCGTCTAAGGCCGTCACTTTATAAAATTTAATGGAACGCGTGTTCCTTCAGGGGGAAATGAAATCCTTAAAAATTAAAACCCCGCGTTTCATCCATCTTTTAGGGTTTCCATGTAAACCCTAGACCTCATTTGGAGGGTTCGTTCTCTGATCAAGTTGTTGCTTTTCGGGAAGAAATAACGAATTCATCCTCTCCACCAGTCGACAACCTTCACTCTCTCCTTCTCATTTTCTCTGTAAACCCTAATCCGCCTCCACCACTACCGAATCCCTTTTGTTTATCGTAAAGGAATACCAACAACCTTCTCATCCTCGCTGACGTGCATCACATGATATTCCAAACCACCGAGGTTTGATCGATTTGAGGGCTCCGCTCGGAGGCTGGAGCAGCAGATCGGGTCCATGGAATTTGGAGGAGGTGGTGAAGGACGGTGGTTGGTGGAGGCGATGAATAACATGAACGAGGAGATCTTGTTCCTGACTGTATCCCAGTATCCGAATGTACAACAATTAAGGCAAGATATTTGGGGGTTTCTTTCAAGAAGCTAGTTCAATGTACAACAACAAAAGTTTACTTGGTCTCAAATTCTTCTTGCCCAGGTTGTTTTTCTACCCTCTTTGTACTTTTAGTTATCCCACATCTTCTTATAGTGATGATAAACTACAAACTGCTCTTATGTTGGTTGAACTTGAGATCTAATGCTAGACGACAGCAAGTCAGTATTCTCATAATGTTCATATGTTCCTGTAAGCATATATTAGAGAAAGAACTTCATTAAATGTATCCATGATGCTCATGATCATCTGCTTTAGTATGAATTGCATTAAATGTATCCATGATGCTCATGATTATCTGGTTTAGTAACAACAATGAAAAATCTGATAAATCATTAAAATGCAAACACCAAACTACTAAATTGATTATGCACTCTTTAAGTTATGTGTTCTTTATTCATTCCAGGAAAAGGAATAAAAAGAATGCAATCTGGACCGATCCAGTGTAGAGCAAAAGGGTGCTTCGCTACTTGAAAGTAGGTCTCACGCTATCTTTTACTATGAAACACTCACAAAAGTATCCATTTTGCAGAAATAGGCTCTCTTGGCACCCTCATATGCTGAAATCACCCTCTCTGATGCGATTATTTTTGTTGAAAAAAAGTCCAAAAAAGTCCTAAAATCTCAAATTTACTTTACATATTATGTACTTTTGTTTAACCTTTTATATATTTAATGTGTGCTTTGTTCCATCCGAAATAGGACCTTGTTGTTTCAGCATCATTAGTTCAGACTGTTCGAGTTTGGGACATTGGTGCTCTGAAAAAGAAAACAGTTTCCCCTGCTGATGATAACCTCCGCCTCAGTCAAATTATTGCTGATCCCAGGGATTCTCTACATGGAGTAGGAGAGACTTCAATACTTTTATTAGGGCTTGTGAGAAGTATGGTAGGAGTGATATGGGTATATCACTTCTGAAATGGAAGGAAAATAAGAAAAGAAGTTGAAAGATATGTTGCAGTGTTTAAAGAAAGATACAAGGAGTTAAAAGGTAAATTAGTTTTAACAAAATTATAAACTATGTCCATGGTCCTAACTTGCTACATTGCTACTTTTTAGAGTTTGAGTCCATATATGTGTATTACATGGCATGATGTTTTTTTTGTTTGTAACAGATTATGATCGAATTATTATGAATATTGAAAGAGGGGAGGCTATAATTTCTCGTAAAGATGAAATAATGAAAGCAATCGGAAAGAAATTAGACCGGTGTTAAAAACCCATGGCTGGAGCTCAAAATCCAATATGGTCAAAACAAAGGCAAGCTTTACAATGAAGAATGTGATCGATTCATGGTAAGAAAAAAACACTAGGATGCTATTTATATTTTATAATACACTAACAAACAAAAGTAGATTGGTATGCTATAAATCTCAACAAATTTTAAATTTTTACAGATTTGCATGGTTCAGAAGCTTGGGTATGGAAACTGGGACGAATTGAAGGCTGCATTTAGAACAACACCTTTGTTCAAATTTGATTGGTTTGTTAAGTTACGAACCACTCAAGAGCTTGCAAGGAGATGTGATACTCTCATTCGATTGGTGGATAGCGAAAATCAATGTCCCAAACTCGAACAGTCTGATCGTGGAGTCAATTGGGCATCATTCCATCCCACTCTTCCTCTTATTGTTTCTGGAGCTGATGATCACCAAATCAAGATCTGGCGCATGAATGGTATGGTGTCTTTACAAGTTATTTCATTTGTTAATAAGCTTTTAATTCCCATCTCTTCTTGTGTCATGCATTATCACCAAGATACTTTGGGATCACAAATCTCACTTATCAACTTTATCTTTCAGATACCAAAGCTTGGGAAGTAGACACATTGAGAGGTCACATGAATAATGTATCGTGTGTTCTTTTCCATGCAAGACAAGACATCATAGTATCAAACTTAGAGGACAAAAGCATACGCCTTCAAATATTCCGCTGGGAACACGACATATTCTGGATACTCGGCTGTCATCCCGAAATGAATCTCCTAGCAGCTGGCCATGACAGTGGCATGATTGTTTTCAAGCTGGAAAGAGAACGCCCTGCCTTTTCTGTTAGGATCCTTCTGCAGCACATTCTGCTGGGGGATTCTACAACACTACGACAATAAGTACATTCTTTTCTCAACTAAATAAATTATTTTATGGGTATGTCTAATTTAAATTTTTTAATGTTTGATCAGATTCCGAATTGAAAGGTTACAAAATTAGTGTGGGAATGGCTGAGAAATCTGCTCCAAGGGTTACTCCTGCTCATGAGCCAGGGTCAAAATTTGATATCATTGGATCAATTTTGTATGTTATTTCCTAGTCTATACCTGATATAAAATTTCCATATTATGACTAAACTGATATTAGCTCATTACTAAATAATCTTCAATTTCTCAATGCATATTCTAACATTATAAGTTGCTTGTACATGGTGATCTTATCTTTTGGTGATATTAAATAACTACTTTTGGAGTAGGCATTGTTCCTATACTTGTATTTGTGCAACTGGTGACAACAGGTGATAATTTTTTCCTTCTTAGGTTTCCATCTTTCTTATATGCTTGTTTATCAGGTAAAAAAATTAATTTATTTTTTCATCATGCGGTTATGTCATTCTTCATTATGGGCATGCAACAGCTCCAAGACAACCTCTGTTCTGTTGCAAATAAGGTTTACAACCATAAAAATATTAGCTCAAACCATAGAAGCCAAAACATTACAGAAGCAAATGTTCTTAGGCTTCTAATTATTTCATATAGTGGTAATTTTACTATCTAATAATATTACTTCACCCAAAACAGATGGTTCTATATATGGATCCTACTTTACAACATGATAAATATTTAATGATGGTAATAATAGACTGTTTGAGCAAACATGAAAAACTTACATGAAATAGAGATATGAGTTTACCCTTCCAGTTTGCAATCGGTGTGGAAAAGGGGTTTGGTTTCAGGGGTTTGGACACCCACATTTCAACCAATTAAACAAGTTGAAATTAAAGATGGTGATAGTTTGCCAATGATAACTTTATTGCATAAACAAACATTTAAACCTTATTTTCTATTTCCAAAGCAGAGGTTTTTTTTTACATGTATTTGCTGTTGTTATATATATATATATATATATATATATATATATATATATATATATATATATATATATATATGTATATATATATATATATATATATATATGTATATATTAATTTATACAATTTATTAAAATATTTATTCTACATTTATAAGTTTTTCATTTTCTTTTATTTTCTACAATGTACAGGTGTTGACAATATTTACGGGTGCATTGCTAGAAAAGCAAATTGTGTTTGTATGCTCAAATTTGGTATGTAATGTAAATGAATGCATATTATAGTGTTTTAAGTTTTTCTTACTTGAATCTGTTAAATATCTACAGGGAATTTTATATGCTTTAGTTTTATCAATTATACCCCTCATGCGTACCAACCACTGGCAAAGTTTTTTTAATGCCGGTTTTATCATATGTTTATACAAGTATTAATCATGATTTAAATTTTTAGTTTTAATAAAAGTTTATCCATTTTACTTCAGGTCTTGCAAAATGACATGGTGGACTTCTTGGATGCACCTGTTCCATTTGCTGTAAGTAAATTTTATTTTATTTTATTATTTTTTTTTGTAAAAAAGATTACTAGTTTTTTATAATATGTTAAACAGGTTGGTGTGAAGCACAAAACTGATGAAGCCCAATCCAAGTTAGCAAATGTTATTTTTGCTAATGCAAACAAGAATCAGGTAAGTATTTGTTTCACTCGTATTTACCTTTTTCACATAAATATAACAAAATTGAAAACGTACTCATATTTATATAAATCTGTTATTTTGTTTTTGCTGATGCAAACAAGAATCAGGTAAGTGTTTGTTTCACTCCAAGTTAGCAATTGTCATCAGGAGACAAGTTCTTCCAAGAGTTCCACACCTTTTGGATTCTGTCTAGGTCATTATTTCACCCAAGTTATCCCACCCAAACTTATTTTAATTTTGTCACACACCCACATTTTCTAATAATCAAAGATATTATGTATGAAAATAACATGTTTCGTTTGTTATTTTATTATTCAGATTTGAAATTCTTGACTTTTGACCAAGCTTTTGCTGAGAAGCATTATGCTGATTTGTCCTCAAAGCCTTTCTTCAATGGACTCGTTGGGTAGATCATCTCTGGCCCAGTTGTTTCCATGGTTTGGGAGGGCAAAGATGCCATTCATGGTTGATATATAAGATATTATCAGATTGTTTACTTTTCATATTGTAGGATGGTTAGATTGTCCTGCCTTGTTATGTATTGTATATGATTGGACTAATTGTGGGAAGCTATTCTTATTTTATTTTTTATTGATATTTTTTCAGTTGGGGTTAGTAATTGATCTTATAAATATGTCTCGTTATTATTCTATGAATGATTGGAAGAAAGAAGGCATCAAGTATGTTATGGTTAGTTTCTAAATACCTTCTACTCATCAATTTTTGGAATATAGATAAATTATGTTTAAAGGTTCTTTGAGAAAATGAAAGAGAAAACAAACGATGGTAAATTTGTAACAAGTTAGGACTTTATGTTTAATATTTATTTGAAATTGTAAACGGTGTTCTTATTTCTTTAAAGGTTGAGTCGAGGCGGAAGAAAACAACTTCCAGACTTGAACAACAATTGGCAGAATAACAGGTTGCAAGATTGAAGGCTGAAGGAAACAAATTCTAGACTTGAACAACAATTGTAAACGGTGTTCTTATTTCTTAATTCTTTTTTTTTCTTTTTAGTTATATAATAATGATATTGCTGAGTCTACCTTTTGTTATTTTGACCAGGTTGCCCTCATGCTTGAAGGTATGGGTTCATCAACACAAATCTTATTTACAGTGAGCAGGGATGGGTTCATCAGCACAAATCTTGAAACGTTACTTATCATTCACAACTATAAAATTTGTCCCTAATTTTTCAGTGCATGCATCTTTGCAGGTTTATTCTTGTTTCTTGTCATTTGTATTGCATTTAATGATAATGATCAGGAGGGACTTTATGTCTTTTTTTTTTATCCTTCAAAGTTTTGGAGCAGGGAGCTGATTCAGCAAGCCAGTGTATGCTATCATTCTCATTTTTTTTATAAAAAAGATTATGTCTTAATAAGTAAAATCTTGGAAAGACTGAAAAGAATGTCAAAGTATGTTAATATGACCAAGTAGTGATATCGTAAGATGTTGGCGCAGGAACTTGATCATATTGTGGAAGAACTTGAAAATATTGCTAAAGTGAATCTCCTTTAACACAGATCCATTATTTCACTAATTGAATAGGTTTATTTTTTTGTTACATCGTAGAAATTTGTTATCCTGGAGTTCCATAGGTAGCACATTTGACTAGTGTCAAATTGTTCTTGCATATGCTACAACTTAAATGGGATCTTACTTAACTTACCAATGTTTTTATATTTATGATAGATTGGTACTTTAAAATGTTGGCGAGGTGGGTTATGCCTTTCAAGATCTAATGGAGATAGAGATGTTGGGGAGTTCATTATTCCAGTTCCTCATGTCAAAGAAGTGAGGGTTAGTTTAGTAATTAAACTCAATTTATTCCTCTTTTTATTAACAACTTTTATTTATTCACGATCTTCAGCTATCTTCTGATGTGGGTGGCTTGTAATTTCAAGTGATGGAGTCGCAGATTGGCTCCGGATTCAGCAACAGCACAAATTGCCAAAGTACGGAAACAAAAAAATGTCAAATTTGTAATAAAATATAATGCAATGGATTCTATTTTTTGTATATGATATTTTGTATGACATTAAATTTTATGAAATGGATTATATTTTTTGTATATGATATTTTATTTTCTCTTATGAGGCATTAAATGCAAATTTAATTTGAAAACTAGTAAATCTATAATATATATATATATATATATATATATATATATATATATATATATATATATATTTAAACATTTAAAATTATGATACGCAAAAATGTGTGTCATCTTCATTTATGACATCGCCTTTCTTGACAGGGGTTTTCTTGATACGCATTGCGTGTCATTAACACGCGCGTCGTAAGGTTACGACACGCGAATGCGTGTCGTCTTCCTTTATGACAAGGCCTTCCTTGATACGCATTGTGTGTCGTAAACGTGCGTCGTAACTGCACGCCATAAATGCGCGTCGTCTATAGACGACTCGAAAAAGTGCGTCGTTTCTCTTTATGACAGGGCCTTCCTTGACGAATATTTGCGCGTTGTCTGATCCTTTTACGACGCACAATGAGCGTCGTAAAAGGCTGTTTTTCTAGTAGTGTACCTGTTACTGGATCCCTGAGAATACAAGTCATTGTGAAAAGCATCAACTAAAAAGTTGGTGAATTCATAAACATTTTTGTATAAAATGGTTTTTTACTTGTTTAGGGTAATTCTCATAGTACTTTCAGAAATCTGATATTTATATAAAAATAATTTGTAAGTCTCATTCTAAAATTGTGAATATATGCATGCTTGTCCCAGAGAATCCGATATTTTCTAAAAAGAAATGGTTTGAAATATTTGTGTCCGATCTTATATTAATTCATGTGTGTTAATGTTTGTGAAAATAGAAAGAGAATGATCCCAGACAACCCGATGTTATCTGCGTAAGAGAATGTTGGAATCTCAACCCCCGGGGTTGAGTATCGGACGTATAGGTTACCGTTTTATCAAAAAGAATGTTTACCGTAAAATTTATAATGTTAATTCCTCTAAGTGAGCCGTTATAACCATACTAGATAATGTCAATTTCGCTTGTCAGGGCGTTTTTCGGACGCCGATGGAATAAGGTAAAGTGTTTGTCATCCTAGACTGGCATAGTCTAACTATAGAGAACAGCTTAGGTGTGGGGTGTCACCCCCGTATAGATCTATACAAAAACTCCCACTCTACCTCCAAGAGACTCTGGTTATAAGAGCTTTTTTCATGATAAAAATAATTTCTTGTATTTTCCCTTTCTGTCCCCATTTTTAGAAAAATTAGAGAAAAATCACCGTAAGTCAAAATTTGGATCCGTAAACTCTGAGTTTAGAAAATGAGTCTACTTTATTCATAATTGTAAAAATTCCCAAAAATTATAGAAAAACCAGATGAATGTGTGAGAGTAGTCATTTTAAAGGTATAAACCTGAACTTTTTGCATGTAAAAGAGTTTTCAAAAATAAAACCATCAAGGTGGTCAAAAAAGTCCATAATCTGACCAAAATGTTTCTGTTAAAAGTTGATTTTTGAGTTTAGGTTATACATGTTTGAACACAACACTTATTTATGCTATTTTGAGTGTATAATCCCAGATCTACAAGTTTACATGTAATATATATGATAACAAACACTTTTCTCATGGTTTTTATGAATATCTAAGTGATAAACTTTATGTTCAAGTAAAAATCTACAAGTTAAACACATAACACAATGGTACATGCAGATATCCAACGATTAAACGAGAGTTGAATTGTATCCTCCCCCGAAAACATGAAAAATACGAAAGATATGGGGGTATGAAGATCACCTTGGGGTTTTTCAAGATGTATATGAAGAAGAAGAAGAATCTTTGAACCTAGCTTGAGTTCTTCATGAGATTTGTGTTGTTTTGATGTTCTAAGAGCATAATCACGAAAATGGAGTTGTAAGAGGAAATATCTTAACATAGACTTGAAATAGAACATCTAGAGATGAATATGGACTTGCCAAGTTATGATCCTTGAATAGAGCTTCTTGAAAACACACATACCTTCCACGAAAATTGAAGGAAAGCATGAGGGAGTTTCTTTGAGTTTGAGAGAGAATAAACTAAGAGTTTGAGTTTGGAAATGAAAAGTGAAGAGGTTATGGTGGTGGTTTGGCCGAATTTAAGGAGGAGAGGGAAGTGGTGGAGTTCTTACATGTTGGTAAAAGTGTTCATGCATGGATACATGATGTGTAATTAGCATGGTTATATGTGGTGTAATTGTAAGTTGTCACAATTATAAACCACTTCTGATTTTATTTATTTATTTATTTATTTATTTATTCATGACCATAACCAATTAGGAGAGGTATTTGGCCCAAGGTTGGCCCAAAATAATGGGCTTTGAATTTGACTTGGTCTTAGGAGTTTTCGGCCCAATAATGTTCTAGGAAGGGTATTGGCCCAATTAAGGGGTTTTCGGCTCAAGGAGATTATATGAAGCAACTTTCGGCCCAAAATGAAGTCTAATTTAGGTTTTCGGCCCATTAGAACCCAAGGGAGGGTTTTCAGCCCAACAAGACCAAAAGGAGTAGTTATCGGCCCAATAAGGATGTCTTGGTCCGATAAGAGATTTGGGTCGAAAATTATTGGGCTAAGGCCCACAAATGATTGGATTTTGCTTATTGGATCGAGTTTTTAGGTCTTCATGTGGTTGCTTTGACTTGAATGACAACTTACGCAAGTATTAACTTAATATCATTGACGTTTGAATTTTACTAAGTGAAATGTTACAAGATTACACAAAGAGTTTTTCTTGTACAAGGGCCAACTTCCTAACCCAAACTTGCTAGTTGTGACAGCTGGCACAGGAGTTTCTGGATTTGAGGCTTCAGGGGTTTTGCTAGAGGCTGGAATGTGAGTCGTGGGGACTCCAAAAAGGAGTAATGATTATGTTCAGCTGGAGTTTTTCATCTGGAAGTAGAATAGTTAATTGATGGACTGGAATGTCGTTTTATAGGGCAAGGATTGTGCCCTTTCAGTTTTTGAGCTCGAAGGAGTGAGCAGACTTGTGACCGCAGGATCAGGTTGTATTCCAGCTCAGGGTGAGTTAGTTGCATGGTTTGGCGACATTATTGTAGCGCTGGTAAGTGTAGGTGGGTCGATGTGGCTTGAGTATCTAGTGAAGCATACGCGATTATTGTCCCTACCCATAAGAGCTAAGATCTAATTCGCTTTGGATCTCTTATATCGTGCAGTAAGGATTGATTGTGAGATTTATTGCTCTTTTGGGATTGGAGACTATGTCTTGGGAGTAGTTTATAGCCCATTTTAGGGCAGAGGTTGCTTCAGCTACTACAGTTCAGTTGTGGACGACTGAGTTGTTGAGTGAGTCAGGGTGCGAGACGTTGAATGATATGATTACTAGAGCCCGAGAGAGAGCGATTTGTTTGGAGCACCTTGGGAATAGGGGTATTATGTGGGAGGTCTGCGGACAGCGTCCTACAGGATGGTTATTCAGCATTGTTAGGATTCAGTGGTTTTGGTAACTGTTATTGATTGGCGGATGAGAGTGCCAAGGGAAGTAGCTCATTGCTGAGATATTAGTTGGAGCACCTATCTTCAGGTCTTCAAGATTTGAGTGTGGGATCATTCAGGTATTAGAGACTGTGGGTTTCACTGGGATTCAAGAAGTTTTTAGCTAGTTCTTAGAAGTGTGTGATCACTTGGAATTGGCTGGTAATGGAGCACTAGTTGGAAAGAGTTGGTTGTCATCGGATCGATCGTTGGAAAGTGAGAAAGATTGAGAATTCTCCAACTTTCATGTATTGTGAAGACTTAGTCGAATCTAAGTGGGGCAGAATTATCCCAGGATTCAGAGGCAGGAGTGGTTTTGGACTTGGGATAAGTTTCACATTTCTGTCAGGGAGGAAGGCGTCCCAAGTGGTTGTTTAGTTTGAGGGTTGTGTAAGTCGGGAGTTCGGTAA